CACTTTAAGACAGGATGCTCCTGATTTTGGTGATATTGCACAGGTGAAAGAAGGCAGTTCTAGAGGCTTGGTTTATGTGTGATTTCAAGAACATATCTTGGTCAAAAATGACTTCAAAGATTCATCTGGGTTCATATAGATAAATATAACTGAGTATCATCTGCATAGCAATGGAAATTTGTGCAATATCCTGATAATATTTCATAAGGGCAGCATGTACAAAATGACTCAGCACAGAGCCCTGTGGAATGTCAAGACTAACTTTAGTCTGCATGGAAGATTCATCATTAACATGAGCGAATTGGAATCTTTCTGACAAATAAGATTTGAACCAACTTAGTGTGGTTCCGTTAATCACTGTTCCAATCTTTGTAATAAGATGTTGTGATCAGTGGTCTCAAAAGCAGCAGTGAGATCTAAGAGGACAAGTACAGAGATGAGTCCTTTGTCTGAGGCTAGGAGAAGATCATTGGTGACTTTCACCAATGCAGTTTCTGTACTATGATGGACTCTAAAACAGACTCAAAATCCCCAAACAAATCATTCTTGTGTAGGTGGTCACAGAACTGCTTTGCAACAGCTTTTTCAAGTATTTTAGAAATAATCAGGAGATTGGATATTGATCTATAATAAGCCAGAACACCTGGGTCAAGAGTAGGCTTTTTGAGTAGAGGTTTAATTACAGCAACCTTAGAAGCCTGTGGAACATAACCTGTTAATAGAGAGAAGTTAATCAGATTTAATATGGATGTGTCGATTAGGGGTAAAACATCTTTGACCAGCCTGGTCGGGATGGGGTCCAGGAGACATGATGATTTAGATGAAGCAGTTCAGGTAAACTCAGAGATCTATGGGAGAAAGTAGTCTAAGTATAAATGAGGTCTTACAGATGTTTCTAAAGCCATTGTGCTTAATGATACATCTGTGAGAGTTGTGGGAAAGATATGATTAATGTTTTTTCTCTAATAGTTGTGATTTTATTTGTACAGAACCTCGTAAATTCATTACTACTGAGATCTAAGGGAATATTAGGCTCAACAGCACAGTGGCTCTTTGTCAGCCTGGCTACAGTGTTGAAAAGAAATCTGGGGTTGTTCTTATTTTCCTCTATTAGTGATAAATAATATGTGCTTCTAGCACTACAAAGGGCTTTTTTATATGTTATTAAACTATCCGTGAAAAAGGAGAGGTGGGGGAATACGCAGCAGGGGTGGCACAGTTTTATCAAAATTGAAACACTGATGAACACACCACAAAGAAATAACTTACCAGAAATTCATTTGTACACAGGGGTTGTGTACAGGTGTTTGCATGCACAAACTTCCATTCAATAAAGAGAGATAGCTGGAGCAACACGAACAGGCTGTATTTTATTATTTTCAACCAAAAGCACTTAAATGTGCAATAAGCGGAGACAGGAAATCATAAGGGGCACATGAAGGCTGCATAAGCTATAAACTGAACTTCAATAAAATCCACCTAGACACAGAGACAGACACAAACCTGAATTGATCCATGGGTAGATCTCAGTAAAGACAAATATGTAATAAAGGCAGAATTCAAACAAACAATAACAGTATCATTTCTTCAATCAGAGCTTCAATTATACTGATGGAAGAACATCTATATACCTAAATAACATCTCAGCTTGTTTATGTCCAAGTATAATGTACCATGAAAGTGCTTTAAAAATCCATTTTGAATTTGTAGAGGTATGAAATTTACAGTAAATGCATGAAGCACAAAATTAAACCAGACAGTGTAATTACCTGAGCACTGGTTGTTGAGAGCTTTGGGAACATGCTTCCCTGAAATAAGTCTGTTAGGCAGTGTTTGCTCTCAGGATGTGTTGTGGTCTCGACAAGCTTATAGATTTAGGTCTGTAAGGAATACATGAATTTGCTAATAGTACAGCAAATGATCCACACTGTCCAAAGTGTTAAATATCTCCCTGCATTAAGCACTTCCTGTTAAGCAGACAGGGTTATATAAAGTTGGCCCAAGGCTTTGGTGTGTGTTCAGCATCCTGAATCAAACCTAGAATTTGTTTGTGAATGTGGCCTAGAGTGGATCCACATCTCAGCTTACCACATCTAATAGCTTCCCAGTCAGATACTGGTAGCCCAGTAGTCTGTGCCTCAAAGGAAGCTGGTCTAGTCACCAGCTGTAAACACAGAGGGAATTCTCCTTGGTTTGATAGGAAAGCTCATGTGCTGCATTCAGATTTAGATATAATACAGTATGTGGATTAGCGAATGAGGTTTTTCTTTTTTAATATATTAGAAAAGGAAACCAGGCACAACCACACCAGAAGGGCTGTAGTTATTTTGAGCCCAGGCCTGTCCGATGAGATTTTTTTTTTTCTTGTGTGTGGAGAAGATGATTTAACTGAGGAAATATTGGCTGGAAAATGTACAGCAACCATTTTAAATAACAGGACAAAAAATGACAGAGTGACTGTCCCACTAACTGTCTGTTACGGTGGGGCAACAGGGTACAGACCATGGGTGTACATGTATGCACAAGTGTACAAGTGCTTTTCAATAATAAGAAAAGTGCATGTGTGAGTGTGTTAAGTCGTAAGGCTCAGTTTTCAATCAGTGAGGCCTCCCCAGTGGAAAGTTAGTTATTGTAGTTAGGCCACTTCAGCAAAACAGTGAGCAGTACACATACTGTACTCATGGAGGCAGTTAAGATAATTGAAATACGTAGCCCAATAAAAGATGCCCAATTACTGCAGTTTGTGGCATAAATCACACTGCTTCTTGGAGTCACTTATATTTAACACACAACCATAATGCACACAGTTTTAGATACAGATTTTAGACTTTTTTGAGTCATATCATTGGCTCTGATGAAGAGGTTTCCATAAATTAGCTTAGAAGTCAGTAAAAAGGCACTCTTTGTAACTCCAGCCTGCCTGAGAATCATCACGTAGTAACGTTTTCTTCGGTATCAATCCAGTGATAGGTAACGAAATAGAAAAAAGGTAAAGAATAATAATAGATTTCCCAAATCTTTTAACATAAACTTTGGCCATGTGGTGCTATACATATGCAGTATATCAGGTGCAGCTCAATAAATTAGAATATCGTGGAAAAGTCTATTTATTTCAGTAATTCAACTCAAATAGTGAAACTCGCGTATTATATAAATTCAGTACACACAGGCTGAAGTAGTTTAAGCTGTTGGGTCCTTTAATTGTGAAGATTTTGCTCACATTTAACAAAAACCCACCATCTCAATAAGTTAGAATACCTCATAAGACCTATTAAAAAACATTTTTAGTGAATTGCTGGCCTTCTGGAAAGTACGTTCTTTTACTGTATATGTACTCAATACTTGGTAGGGGCTCCTTTTGCTTTAATTACTGCCTCAATTCG